TGCGATCCCGTTTGCCGGTCCCGGTCCGGTACGGGTGCGACACTGAGGGTTGCGATCCGTTGCCAGTCACGAAAAAAGACACAAAAGGGGCCGGCCCGGTGGCTCACTCGGGAGAGTACGGTGCTGATAACACCAAGGCCCCAGGTTCGGATCCCATATAGGGATGGCCGGTTCGCTCACTGGCTGGGCGTGGTGCTGACAACACCAAGTCAAGGGTTAAGATCCCCTTACCGGTCATCTTTAAAAAAAAAAAAGAAAGAAAGAAAGAAAAAAGACAAAAAGGAAAAAAAATATATATTAGATTGACAAAAAAAAAAAAAAAAACTGGAGTGCACTATCTGTTCAATAAATATTAGATTGACAAAAAAAAAAAAAAATACTGGCGTGCACTATCTCACGGAATTCCTTCGGATTCCTCTCTGACGATTCCTACCATGGAGTTGTATTATTGGGATCCCATTTGGATTTTGAATCCAGACATCAGTTACTATGGGTAACTGTTCGGTGGGACCTGCTGGGTAGGAGAGGCTGGGAGTATGTCTGCACATCTGATCTGGGATATCTTGCTTGTCTGCCCATTTGAGAATGACGTACTCCCAACCTTTTTTTTTTTTTTTTTTTTTCCCCTCCGGCAGCTGGCAGGTAAGGGGAGCCAAACCCTTGACCTTGATGTTACTAGCACGATGCTCTCTCCCAAGTGAGCTAACCGGCCAGCCCTCCAACCTTTCTGATTCTATTCTAGTTCATGCCAAAACCCAGATTAAGGGAGGCGGTCTTTTTAAGAACTGATGTGGTGGCCCCGCCCTTTAAAGGGATCAGCTGAATCCGAGTCACATGACTTTTGTGTCTCTTCCGCCATCTGAGGTTGGGGCTGCATGTGTGACTGTGGGGAGCCCCGCTGGGGTTGGGGGCACTGTGCCCCCAGCCCCATGCTCCTCTTGAGTCTACTTTTGTCTGCAGCCCCATTCGGCCTGCTGGGGGAGAAGACCCGCCAGGTGAGGCCTCTGGCTCTAGAGCAATAGAGGTTTCAGGAAATGCTACCTTTGCAGAGTGACTGGAATCTGGGGCAACCAAGGGATGGGGGTGGAGAGTGGTGGCAAAGAGAAGTGTTCTTTAACCTCGGGGGTGTGGGGGGCAGCCGTAGCTCATGGGACAGGATTATGGAGTAGGCTGGATGTGAGGGCTTCCTGTCTTCTTATGAAGTCTGGACTCTGACTCAGTCCTGGGTGACGCAGGTCTGGGCAATGTTGGATTTTTTTCTCATTCCCAGCCCTGTGCCCTGACCTCCTCCCCACCAGGGTCAGGGCAGTCCTGGCTATTCCCTCGACCCCTCTCTACCACATTTCTGCCTCTTACCCGAAGAGTACCTACCTCCCCCACACATTCCTCTTGCCTAGACCCCCAGAGTCCCACCCTCTCCCCAGCATTTCCCACCTTCAAGCTTCTTCTTTGCCTGTGTCTCTCCCTGATCCTGTTCCCTCAACCCTCCACTACTCTGTGTTCCAGGTATCTCTGGAGGTCATCCCTAGCTGGCTGGGTTCCCCCCAGAACCTGCTTCATATCCGGGCAGTGGGCACCAACTCCACACTGCACTATGTGTGGAGCAGCCTGGGGCCTCCAGCAGTGGTGCTGATGGCCACCAACACCCCCCACAGCACCCTAAGCGTCAACTGGAGCCTCCTGCTATCCCCTGAGCCTGATGGGGGCCTGATGGTGCTCCCCAAGGACAGCATCCAGTTTTCTTCTGCAGTTGTCTTCACCAGGGTGAGGAGGTTGGGAGAGAACCAAGGAGGAGACCTGAGAGGAAGGAGTTTATCCCAATTAGTGGGAGGAACTGAAGACTGGGGATGGGTGAAGTAGACTCAGATATGAGAGCCAGGGGGTGGAAGGGTGTGTGGGGGAGGGGTGGTTCAGGAGAAAGCTAGACTGAGGCAAGCCCAGTTCCACCCCATTCCCACCCCCCAGCTGCTTGAGTTTGACAGCACCAACATGTCTGATGTGGCAGCAAAGCCCCCAGGAAAACCGTATCTTCCATACTCCTTGGCTGACTTCTCCTGGAACAACATCAGTGACTCATTGGATCCTACCACCCTGAGCGCCACATTTCGAGGCCACCCCATACATGATCCGAGCAGGGCTTTTGCCAATGGAAGCCTGGCCTTCAGGGTAAGTGGGTAGGGAATCAGGCGGAACTCGAAAGGCTGGTTTATAAGGGTGGGAGTTAACAGTGGGGGTGGCCCTCGAGCAGGCTTCAGTCTGCTTCCTACACCTCCCATGTCGCCTCCTTTCTAGGTCCAGGCCTTTTCCAGAACCAGTCGACCCACTCAACCTCCTCGCCTCCTGCATACGGCAGACACCTGCCAGCTAGAGGTGGCCCTGGTTGGGGCCTCTCCCCGGGGAAACCACTCCCTGTTTGGGCTGGAAGTAGCCACCTTGGGCCAGGGCCCTGACTGCCCCTCAATGCAGAAGCAGCACTCCATCGATGATGAATATGCACCTGCTGTCTTCCAGGTCAGGCTTCCAGTGGAGAGGCAGATGGATGAGGAACGCAGGTGGGACCCCATTAGAACCTGAGATTCACTCAACCGTTTACTATTTAGCAACACTTTCTCCAGCTCCTTTAAGTGCTGGGCTAATAAACCTGACTTAGTCTCTGCCCTCACTGGAGACAGACAGAAGGCAGCACAGTATGAATCATGCTTTGCAGGTGGGAATCTGCAAGGGCCTGGGGGCCCAGAAGAGGGAGCCAAGTGCAGGCTGGCAGGGCTGGAAAAGAACTCAGTGCTCATCCAGTCCAACTCCCTCTTTCTACAGAGGAGAGATTGAGTCCTCGTGCAAATAGTCTGTCAGTTCTAGAACCAGGGCTAGGACTTAGGACTTCCTGCTGCCCTTAGCATACTGCCTGTCACTACCAGTGACAGGGAGGCTGGGAGATGGGGAAGAAAATGTTGGCACAGTTCAGTCCCCTTCACCCTCCTTTGTCTTCCTTTCTCCCCAGTTGGACCAGCTGCTGTGGGGCTCCCCCCCATCAGGCTTTGTGCAGTGGCGACCAGTGGCTTTCTCACAGAAGCAGGGGAGCCGAGAATCAGCCCTTCCCTGCCAAGCTTCCCTTCTTCACCCCACCTTGGCATATCCTCTCCCCCAGTCACCCATTGTCCGAGCCTTTTTTGGGTCCCAAAACAACTTCTGTGCCTTCAATCTGACGTTTGGGGCTTCCACAGGCCCTGGCTACTGGGACCAACACTACCTCAGCTGGTGAGAGGCAGGGTCTGGGCCAAAGGTTTGGGGGTTGAAGTGGAGGAAGACTGAGTCTCCCCACCTTCACTTCTAAGCCTGCTTATCTCACTTTCTCTCTCTCTGCTTGTTCTAGGTCAATGCTCCTGGGTGTGGGCCCCCCTCCAGTGGATGCATTGTCCCCACTAGTCCTGGGCATCATGGCAGTGGCCCTGGGTGCTCCAGGGCTCATGCTGCTGGGGGGAGGCCTGGTTCTGCTGCTGCGCCACAAGCAGCACTCAGAGTACTCATCCATAAATTGAGGCCAACTCTCTGGAAGGAAGGACAGTACTGGACCTGCCTTGCTGTGCCTCAAACCTCTGGAAGTTCCAGCCGGCCCCTCCCCACTCCCATCTTACTTTTCTGCAGAACCTCAGAAAGCAGCCTCGACTTCCTGGGGACCCCTAGGTGGGGCCTCTTTCATACCCTGGGAAGGGGCCAGGGCCAGTGTTATTGCTAAAGGGAAGGTCCCCTTGCTGTTGCCTTCCTGCGTCTCTATCCCCCATTTCCCTTGGATGGGACTCATAGGCCGAAATGAGAGGCCTTCTGACTGGCTGACTGCCCTGGAGAACATGAAATAGGCCTATTTTTTCCCACCAGGCTCCAGTCTCTCAATGTGTGAGTGTTGTTGAGCTGGTCCGGGGCTCCACGGAATGGGAGGGCTAAGAAATGGGCTTGGAAGACAAGTTTTTATTTGAGACCCCATTTCCTCACCAGGCCTAGTTCTGTCCCTCACCATGGAACCAAGCTCCTGCCAGCCAGCCTCCACCATATGAAGCTGGGAGGTTTCTGGTGTGGTCTGAATCAAAGAAGGAAGGGACACTCGAGACTGGGGGCAAACAGGAAAAAAGGGCCAACAAACACTGTGGCAGTAATTTATTGTTACACAGACACACATACTCACACTGGGTTAACATCAGCCACTGTGCCCTCCAACCACTCCCCAGCCAACACACACACACACACACACACACACACACACACACCTCTCTCTCTCTCTCTCTCTCTCTCTCCTCTCTCTCCCCTGGGAGGCAGATTTGCCCGTGTGCTCCTCTCTTCCTATTGGGAAAGGTGTGACTTCTAAGCAGTTTGGAGATGGGAAGTTACAGGAGCCTAAATAGGTTGGAAGGGAGGAGGCAGGAGCCCTGGACTCAGGCACCGTTTAATAGTCTTGATTGAGGAAAAAGGGCCCTTTAAGGCCAATCATGGAAGGTCCTGAACCCAGGCCCCCCCAGAAGGTTTTCACCAATTATATCTGATGCCCAGACTTAGGCATGGGCAGTATTTCCAGTCTCCTGGAAGTCCTCTGCTTAGACCACTGGCACAGAAACTGTCAGGTTTTTAGCCTTACAGGAAACTGGGGAGCACAGCAGAGTGCAGCATTAGTAAGCCCTAGTGGCAGAAGTGGGAGGCTGCTCGGGAAGGAACCATACCTCTCCCCCTCGTCCTGGCCTCGTGTCCTCAGCATCCTTAAGGGACATGGCTGTCCACCTGTTTCCCTGCAGGAAAACAGTCCCTCCCTTAAGACTGTCCCTGGCTTCAAAGGGAGCACCTGCTAGGGGACAGCAGAATCCAGGCTCTGATTGGATGGGAGCCCTATCGGGGCAGTAGCAGGGTCTTTCCCACTGGGGTCCCAGGGCTGGGGGCAAAGTCCAGGTCCGCAACTCGGTTCGGAGAAGTGGCCCCAGCCCACCCCGCTAGCCCGGAGGGCTAGAGGGCGGAGCGGCTTAGCCCCAGGGGCGGGGCCTGTGGTCGGAGGCCGCGCGGGCGTGGTCCGGGTAGTCCAGGCGGCTGTCGGAGGCCGTGAGCATGCGCTCGGGCTCCACCACGAACATGTAGTAGAGGTTCCACACCAGCATGGACAGCAGCGGCAGGAAGGTCAGGCCGTAGCCGAAGCCCCGGAAGGAGCGGCCCACGGCGAAGGTCAGCCAGTATATCAGCCTGCGGGGCGAGAAAAGGGTCGTGCTCCTCTCGAGACAAGCGCGTCGGTTAATCGCAATGGGCTGACGGCGGGGAGAACACACAGGGAGGGAGGCAGATGGGATTCGGGGGTATGGCTGATACTTCTAAAAACAGCCCAAATGTATGCATTTACTAGTGCCAGGCACAGTGCTAACTAACGTAAGCGCAGTATTTAATTCTCACTTCCCCACAACTCTGTGAGATGAGTATAGTATCCGCCTCCCTCTTTTATTTCCTTTTCAGTTTTTAATTTAAAAGTTTTGATGTACCGGCCAGCCGCCCGTACGGTTAAAAAAAAAAAAATTAATGGGCAATATGCATTCACATGGTTCAAAATATAATGAGTATAGTAAAATATCTCCCTTCTTTTACTGATTCACACCCTATTCTCCTCCCCCACCCTATCCAATATTATGTTTTCTGGTGCATTAAGTGATTGTTTATGCAAATATGAGCAAGAAGTTTTGCTTTTTTTTTTTTTTTTTTAAAGATGACCGGTAAGGGGATCTTAACCCTTGACTTGGTGTTGTCAGCACCACACTCAGCCAGTGAGCAAACCGGCCATCCCTATATGGGATCCGAACCCGTGGCCTTGGTGTTATCAGCACCGCACTCTCTCGAGTGAGCCACAGGCCGGCCCAAGTTTTGCTTTCTTTTTCCCTTTTTTGAAGCATAGCATACTTATATAGACTGTTCTTTTTTTTTTTTTTTTCCTTTTTGTCTTTTTTCGTGACCGGCAACGGATCGCAACCCTCAGTGTCGCGCCCGTACCGGACCGGGACCGGCAACGGGATCGCACCCCTCAGTGTTGTGCCCGCACCTCGCTCAGCCAGTGAGCAGCCGGTCTGTATGTGGGATCCGAACCCTCGGCGGGAGCGCCGCCGCACTCCCAAGCGGTGCACTGTAGCAGTGCACCACCGGGCCAGCCCAAGACTGTTCTGCATGTCAGATTTTTTTTCCCATTTAATATATCTTGGAGATCATTTTATATCAGTATATAGTTTCCTCATTCTTTTACAGCTTCAGTATGTTTCATTGTATTTATTTACCCTTTTGCAGATGAAAAAGGGACTAAGTAATTCTGGCTCAAGGCCACACATCTGGGAAAAATAGCAAAGTCATGACTTGAACCCAAGCCTGTTCATCACCCCCTCTTCTGCTATTTTAGAGAGGCAAAGGGAGAGAGAGTAAGGAAGCCAGCTTCAAGACGGCTTGAAACCCAGATGGATGGATCAGCCACAACCAAATTTCCCCTCTTGGAAGATACATTCAAAATGCATACCCCTCGGGCCAGCCTGTGGCTCACTTGGGAGACTGTGGTGCTGATAACACAATACCAAGGCCACGGGTTCGGATTCCTGTATTAGCTCACTTGGGAGAGCGTGGTGCTGAAAACACCAAGTCAAGGGTTAAGATCCCCTTACTGGTCATCTTTAAAAAAAAAAAAAATGCACACCCCTCACTGGAGGAAGGGGAAGCAACTTCCTCAATATATGAAGGACCACTTATTACAAAACTGACATGCCTCTGCTCTTTTTACCTGTGAAAGGGAGGGAAGAGTGAGTAACTGCTGCTGGTGGTGCACCAGGAGGCAGCATGGCATACTAAGAGTTCACATTTAGCAAACCCCTGCCAAGTACCAGATTGTTTTAAACATTCTACATGAATTAACTCGTTTAATCCTCACAACAGATCCATTTTATAGATGATGAAACTGAGGCACGATATGCATATAGAAATTGCCCATGGCAGAGAAGAAAGGACCTGGATTCTAGTCCTACCACTGTTGCTGACTGATCTGCATAACTTTTCTCCCCCAATCTGTTGTGATTTCTTCTCTGTGAAATGGGAAGCCTGGACCAGACAATCAATAAGTCTTCCTTTAGCTCCCTGTTGATTCTCACTGCTTAAGCCAACTTCTATCTGAGGCCAGTATTCCCCAAGAGTCCAAGATGGGAGGTTGAGTTATACAAGCAGGAACATGTTTATCTCAGGAAAATCTACTGAGAGAAAATGTGAGGCTGCATGGGACAGCTGGCCACTAGATTACAATCAGAAGCAACAGGAAAACTAATTTTAGCTCAGTAGGAAAAATATTTTAGAAGTGAAAGCTACCTGGAATCCTGTATCAAAAGTAACAAGAGGGGGCCGGCCTGTGGCTCACTCGGGAGAGTGCGATGCTGATAACACCAAGGCCCCGGGTTCGGATCCCATATAGGGATGGCCGGTTAGCTCACTGGGTGAGCGTGGTGCTGACAACACCAAGTCAAGGGTTAAGATCCCTTACCGGTCATCTTTGAAAAAAAAAAAAAAAAGTAACAAGAGGAAATATATTAGGGAAAAATGGAAAGACCCACATTTGGGTTCAGAAATTCAGAGATGCCTTTTGTGTTAACAGTAATTCACATGAAAACACCCCTAAGGATTTCAGGAAACTGAAAACTTTGAACAAAAGGAGAATAATGAGGCTGCCATGGGAGCTAATATGGCCTTGATTTGTATCAGGAGAAGGACAGTATCCTTGACCAGGGTACTTCCCACCCCATTGACAAGCAGGAGTATTTCCTGTCCAGAGGGAAAGCCAGGACAGTGAAGGGACCAGGGCCATTTAGCAAAGAGGAGACTGGGGGAGCAGGGTGTTAGAGTAGGGGGAATTGAGAGCTGTTGTCAAGTATCTAAATTTGTCATAGGCAATTCTGGAGGTCAGAGTCAGGGCAGAAGTTTTTAGCACAGTATGAAAAAGAACTTTCTAACAATAAGGACCTTTAAAAACTGAAGCAGAGGGCCGGCCCGTGGCTCACTCGGGAGAGTGCGGTGCTGATAACACCAAGGCCATGGGTCCGGGTCCCTACATAGGGATGGCCGGTTGGCTCACTTGGGAGAGTGTGGTGCTGACATCACCAAATCAAGGGTTAAGATCCCCTTAAAAAAAAAAAGTTAAAAGTGCGGTGCTGATAACACCAAGGCCATGGGTTCGGATCCCATATAGGGATGGCTGGTTCGCTCACTGGGTGAGCGTGGTGCTGACAACACCAAGTTAAGGGTTAAGATCCCCTTACCAGTCATCTTTTAAAAAAAAAAAAAAAAAAAAAAAAACTGAAGCAGACTGCTTTATAAGGAATGGAGCATTTGGTCACAGGGGGTGTTCAGCTAGAGGCTAAAAAACCTACCTGACCAGAGTGTCACAGAGGAATGGCTACAATGGGTACATTGATCTAGATGACACCTGAAAGCCTTCCAGTTCTATGTTGGTATATGTGTCTCTGAAATCAGCTTCCTATGGGAAGACATATGAACTGACCACCTGCTACCAGGTGAGGTAAGGTGTGAGAGAGAGAGTGGACTCGTCTCTCCCTGGCACATATTTGGGCTGACAAAGAATCCAGAAGGGTCAGCCTGGCTCTCCAGACATTCATTGGCTGGGTCCTCCAGCCCCATCACCAGGCCCCCACCTCCCCTATACCCCAACTCACCGGGAGATGGCAAAGAGACCAGTTAGCAGAGGGAGCAGCTTGAGGGTGTCCTGGGGCAGGTAGGTGGACAGCACAGCCAAGTTGAAGAAGTAGAGGATGAAGAGCTGGACTGACTGGGCCACATATCGCCGGTGGATCTCCACCTCCCGCCGTGGCTCTTCAAAGGGCCGTAGGGCAGAAAAGCATAATAGGCTCAACCCGTACACCAGGAGCCCTGGGTGGGGTTTGGGAACACATAGGGTCAGAATAGGCACGAGGGAGGAGCAACAGTCGGAAAGCTGGGGGAGGGTTCCCATGGAGGGCATAGGCACTACCCAGTGGGGCTGAGGTGGTCCTGGGAGGAGATGGGCAGAGTGGCAGCATGTGGGAGGCCTGAGGGGTCCAGGCCCAGAGAAGAGAAACCCTCCTGCACCCCAAGCCAGGCAGGCCCTGCCCTCCTCAAGTCCACTTCCTAGTGCCCCCTTTCTTCTCACAGGGCCCAGGCTCACCCAGCACGATGGGGAAGGTGGCAAAGACCCCGCAGCGTAGCGTGTAGACCAGGCGGGAACTCATGGTGGGCAGCCGTGGGGCATCAAAGGGCAGGAAGGCATAAGCCCCATATAGCAGGCAGGGGAAGAGGATGAGGGCAGCTCCCACAGAGGCCACAGCCCTCAACCTTTCACGACTCCCACAGCTCCCGCAGCCCCCACAGGAATGGCTAGGTGGCTTCACCACTGCCTCGGCCCACTTGCACTCAGTGGGCTCAGGGTGGGTGGCCCGGGCGGGCAGGAAGTTCCGGCGCTTGCCCTCTCCCAATTCACAGCGCACGATGAGGTCCTCCTGGGGCCTCCGTTCAATGCACTGTAGGTCGATGGGCACAAAGGCCCGGGCTGCTTTCTCAGGCAACAGGTTGGCATCATCTTCAGGCGGCTCTTCTGGTTTGGCCGATGGTTCCAACTCAAGGGGCTCTGGTTCAATGTCCCGCCAGCCAGGGGGATCTGGGAATGGGGCACTGGGCTGCTGGGGGCCAGTCCCCCAGGGCAAGGTGGCAGCCTCACTTACTGTGCTGTCTAGACCATCCTCAGCCCCCTCTCTGGCTGTGGGAGACTCAGCTGAAGACCTCACTCTGACAGACTCAGCTCCAGGGGACTCAGCCCCACCTTCCCCTTCTGGCTGCCGGCCATTGGGGACCAAGGTCTGGGGTGGGCTCTTCTCTGGAACCTCAGGTCCCTTCACTTCTAGCAGGGCCAGGGTCTCGGGTTCTGTCATCCTGGGGCCTCAGTTCTGGGGTTTACCACAAGGTCATGTCATCCTAGAGGGAACAGAGGAAAACTCTGTCAGAAGCCCCTGTCTTCTGGCCCTTAGGATGTTAGGGTTCACAGAACTGGAACTCTCCAGCGCAGCTGTCCTCACAGGCTTTAACCCCTTCTGGGACCTTAGGGAAAATGTCGTGCAGAGGAAGGTGTTGAAACAGAGGGAGGCGGGAGGGAAGTGAGCAGCTGAAACAGAGGAACGCTTTTGACATCTACTGCCATACAGCAGGAGAGGGTGAGTCAGGGGGCACAGGCCTGGCAGCTATGGACTCGGTCAGCCCACACCCACGCCTCTACCCCCTCCACCAAAACCACTGGACTCATGGCCATCCTAATGCAGGAATGGAATGAAGAGGAGGTGTCTAGAACTTTGCCAAGAGCTTCTTTCCCACAGAGGATCTTCCTGTGGACAGGGAAGCTGCCCCTCTACCGTCCCATCTCCCCTTCTCCCTGCAGATCCCCACTTGGAACTCTCCTGGCAACTGAAGTGTCTTGCCAACGAATCTATCCCAAGGAACTGGCAGTTGCAGGGCACCCTGTTCTTTTATCTCCAGTCTGGGTACCTGGCCAGTTTCTGAACTCCTCACTAGCCCACCTCATCCATCTCCACAGGGCGTGGGTCTGTCCATTACGACTTTTAGGTCTAATCGTGGCTGTTTCCCATGCCTCCTCTCCTGTCTTTCTCCCCTCCCTGCTGCCCTCCATCTCATTGCTTCTGGATAGAGCTGATTCCCCTCCCTCATCTCAAGGACCCTCCTACCCTTGCCTCTGGACCCAAGACACCCTCTTACTTTCCATCTGGAGAGAGGTGGAGGGTCCCCAGCGTCCGGGAAGGAGCAGCCCAACTCCCTGCTGGCTCTGCAAGTATTTCTCTCCGTCTCCCTCTCTACCTGTGTCTCCAAACCTGTCTGACCAGAGCAGGTGGGGCCCAGATTAAAGGGGCAGGCCCCACCCTTCTGAATCTGCCGACGGAAAAAGCATTAGAGGAGGACGTCATCCTTTCTGAGAGTGGGGGTGCAGCTGGGCATAGAGGCAAGTTAAGTTCATGTTTTAGGTACCAGGAATGTGTAAGAACTCCCAGTTCAGGAAAGCAGAAGGGAGAAGAGTACTTGCACCAAAGAGTGCTTGGAGTAGGTTACGATACCCAGAAAAGAGATACAATTTGTACACTTATTCATTCAATAAATATTTATTGAGCACCTATTATTAGGTAGGCACTATTCTAGACACAGACACAGAGAAGAATAAAATGACAGTCAAGGGCTTTGCCCTTGAGGAGCTTATGTTCTGTTGGGGTATCATAATGAAGAAATATAGCAACTAAATCAATAAAACAATTTCAGTAGGGAAAGTGTCTTTGATAAGGTGACATATGAGCTGAGACCTGATGGGAACTCAGGAGTATGAGTGTTCTAGGCAGAGGGACAGCAAGTGAAAAACCAACCGGTGGGAAAGACCTGGGCTATTTTCAGGAACAAAAAGAAGGTGGTGGCTGGAGCCAGGAGCATAGTGGCAGAGGGGAATTTATGTTCCCATTACAATGTGTACACGGGCCTCAAAACACTTTGCTTTTTAGGTTAGGTTTAAGGTTAAGAGAGCAATAAGAATCCAAGTTAGATAGGAGGTGATCTTTCCAATGTGAGGATCAAGGGGCAGAAATGTGAGGGAGTGGCTTCTCATTCCTATGAGTCTTTATCCCTAATCCCTAAAGTCATTAGAGCTTTGTGAGGGCAGGGACAGTGTCTAGCTCATTTATGTGTCCCCAGAACCTAGCACTGTGGCTGGAAGATAGCAGAAGTTCAACAAATGTTTGCTGGACTGGTGAGAGATGGATATGCAAGCTGAAAATCTCTAGGAGGGGAGGCTCTTGTGCAAGAGTCATGTCTTCCATTGCCTCACTCCTATGGGATGCTACTCTTTCCAAGGAAACTCACACACACATTTTTGTTTGTTTGTTTAAATTATGGGAAAAGAGGAGAACTGTAGTTAGTCTAACCAGTAATGTCAAAGAGGCTTGGCTCAAATGGGGGAGGGGTGTTAAGAGACTCAAATGGGGGGAGGGGTAAGGGTGGTTAGGGGTAGAAGGATGGGCCAAATGACCGCTGTAGGACAAAGCAATGTCACACTCCTAGCTGTGAGCCCACATGTTTAGCTTTAGCCGCCTCTTGGGTTCACTGTCCGTTTTCTGGCAGCTTTGTCAATAAAGTTTTTCGCAATGGCTTGGAGAAGCCGGAAAGGGGCCATGCTGCCCAGAGTTAGTTCTGGCAACTTCCCGGGAGGGAAAACAAGTTTCGCGAGATTTGGTGGCAGCAAGCCACGGCCCGCAATTGTGCGGCTGCCATCGCGAGATTTGGCAGACGGAGGAGGAGCTGTCGCGGCCAGCCGCCTCACAGCGATGGCGGCCGAGGAGGGCCGGCGGCAGTGGCGGCTGCGGCTACGGCCGGAGACGGCAGTGGTGGCGGTAGTGGTGGGTGGCGGGGGCCTGTGACCGGGAGCCGCCCCCGGACCCGGGCACCATGAGCCAAGGCCCCCCCACAGGGGAGAGCAGCGAGCCCGAAGCAAAGGTCCTCCACACTAAGCGGCTTTACCGGTGAGAGCGGCCGGGGCGTGAGTGCAGCCGCCGGGAGAAGTCAGGGGACGGCGAGGGGCGGGGCCTCTCCGGCGGGGCCCGGGTGCCGGGCTGGGGGTGCCGGCGAGGGAGCAGGGTGCAGTTTTGGAGGGAGCAGGGGGAGGTGGGGCCCCGTAACCCGGGATGGAGCTGAAAGGGGGAATTGGGTGGGTGGGAGATTTGGATGGAAGCACGTGGAGGAATCTCCTGAGCAGTGAGCTTGGGACAGGCACGGAGCTTTGCGGAGTTGGGGTAATAGGATAGGGATTGGGGGCTGGAGGGTTGGGTGGGTGAGGGTGGGTCACAAAGGGAGAAAAACCCGGAAGAGAACGGTGCTTAGAACCCTGTAGGATTTACAGGGAAGAGTGCTGGACTGACGGCCGGAGAGCCAGGTTCAGGTCCTTGCTTTGCCACTCTGTCACTCTGTGACCTTGGGCCTCAGTTCCCTCATCCTTAAAAGGAGAGATTTGGATTGGATACACTCTGAAGTCCCTTATGGCTCTATTTGGGGGCGGGGGGGGGGTACGAATGAGAAGAAAGAGGCTAGAAGGGCCTGGAAGAGCCATGAAGGACTTTGCGTCCAGCTCCCATTTCAGGGCACGAGGGGATTCCTGAGTCCTGCCGTACTCCCAGCCTCATGACTGCAGTCTCTTGCCAGGCGACATCCATTTTTGCCACCCGCACTCCTCAAGTCACATCTTTGGCCCTTCAGCCCTCCGTTGGGAACAGGCTAGTATGAGCTCTTCCCACCCTGGGTGGAGGATTTTTTTCTGTGTAGGTCAACTGGAACGTAGGGGTTTTCTTTTAGACCAGGCTGGATAGAACAGGGGTGTGTGCATGAGAAGACTACCCCCAGAGCCTTGGGCCCCATCTTGAGCTAAAGAGTCAAGAATATGTTGTCTTTTCCTCCTTGAGTAGGCATCCTGCCTGCCCTGGCTTTGTAAGCCAGAAGCCAGATGGGGGTATAGGTTGCTCCAAAAATAGAAAAATGATTTAACCCAGCAGCCCCTGGACTCCCACTGTCGACTGCCCTAAGCAGTCCCCAGGCGGGTGAGGAGTTGCTGGGGGTGGCACGTGTGCCTTGTCATGCTGCTGAGTGTCAGTGCTGCCTGTCAGACAGAGCGTGGGCAGTTTCTGCAGTATTTTTTTACTTGTCTCTTGCTTTTTGGGGTGGCTCTGGTCATCCTAATTGTTTTCAAGTCTAGTTCTTTCTCAAGCCCCTACCTTCACAGTATTGATTGATTTAAGCTGGTGCATTTGCACATGTGGCTTACATGTGTGCACATGGGTATCTGCCTATAATTGTGTGTTGTTGGCTTTGAGCAGATTGGAAATTTGAGGTCTGATTTCTCTGCCCAAGAGAAATGTGTTGTTAGACTATGGGCCTATCACTCCAAGCTTCAGTAAATTTGGGAAACTTCCACACCTAGCTGTTTACAGATATGAAATTCTGAAATGTCTTAAGCCAGTCAGCAGAAAAGGCAGGAGAAGGGACGTTGGAAGGGACAGAAACACCAATTAATTAAGTAGACCAATTAGTTATTTGTTTTTAAAAACATTTATCTCTTTAACACTGTTAGGTCTGGGGTTATAATAGTGAATGAGACACAAGACTAGTTTTTGTAGTTTTTGTTCTAGAGGAAGTTATAGTTTAGTGGAGGAGCTTATGGTCTTACGGGGAAGGGAGAAGAAAGTGCTGAGCTCTCTTAGATTTAAGCATTTCAATTAGAACTTCCTAGAGTAGTGGTTATTAATCATTTTTGGATTGAGAATGTAAGGGGAGCTCTGGAACCTGTCCATAAAAATAGACACATTCCTGTTTGATCTGTCCATGGCACTGAAATTAGAAGCCCTGTCCTGGGGACTAGGCTAGGAGTAAATCACTGATGCTGTCCCTGGCATCAAAGGCCAGGCTGGCTGTAAGGGGTTGGCTACCATTTCTGGGCAGCCCAGAAGGTATTTGGAGAAATGCTGAGCTCTCAAGATTGCCTTTGAGAAGGCCTTGATTACCATCCCACTCACTCAGTTGAGTGCTGGCAGTCATTTTGTCCTGTACAGGACAGCTTTTAGTGTTGTACCACCTGAGCCACTACCACCACAAGGTGCCACTCTGCTGTGGCCCTCTTTTCCTGGCCCAGGAGCACATCTTGATTTTTTCTGGGAATTATCACGCCTAGTTTTTTCGTTTGCTTTTGTGTCCACAACTGTGCCTGATTCACCTGTTCTCACAGCTGCTGCCTGTTGTCCTCTGGGTTTTTGCCCTTCCAGAGATATCACCTACCTCTGGGACTTCTTGGTCATCCATTGTAGAGTGTCTGTGGCTGTCTTTTTTTTTTTTTTTTCTGTGATGATAGGCTTACCTCTCATTGTCTGGAGTCTACCCCTCAGCGTTATAACAAGGATAGAGGGCTGGACAGTTAGCTCACTTGATTAGAGCATGGTGCTGATAACACCAAAGGCAAGGGTTGGGATCCCTGTACCCGACAGCCACCAGAAAAAGAAAAAAAAAAAGGAAGGGTGGAGACTATATACCAGGCACTGTCATGAGTGGCTTTACATATTAGCTAATTTAATCTTTACAAGCTAGGTGATAATATCATTCCCATTTTGTAGTTGGGTGAACTGAGACATAAGGAAGTTAGAGATTTTTCTCCCAGGACCACATAGCTGGTAAGAAGTAGAGCTAGAATTTGAACTCAGGCAGTCTGGTTCCAGAACTTACACTCTCAACCACGATGTTGAACAAACAGTTCCTTGAGCAGAATCAGGGGACCTTATGACTGTACAGCTCAGGAGTCCTCTCTTGCTTTCCTGTGCTTCACAATTTCAAAACAGAATTTTATACTAGGAGTGCCTTTCCTTTATGTCAGAGATAATAAGCCCTTGCACAATAATAATGCATTCATTCCACCATTATTTATTGAATGCTTACCATGTACCAAAGCTGTATGTAAATTATTTCATTTAATACTTACATAGTTCTCTGAGGTAGATGCTATTATTATCTCCATTTTTATTGATGTGGTAACTAAGGCTTTAAAAGGTTAGGTAATTTGCCCAAAGTCACGAAGTTAGTAAGACACAGCCCGGGTTCAAACCCTAGATTTTCTTCCTGGCATTACAGCTGTGCTCTTTCCATTGGGAGAATCTACTTTCCCACATCACAGAGTTTCTCTGACTTGACAGTATTGACATTTTGGGCAGGTAATTATTTATTGTGGTGGGCTGTCCTGTGTATTGTCGGATGTCTAGCAGCACCCACTAAAT